ATTATTATTATTATTATTATTATTATTATTATTATTATTATTATTATTATTATTATGAATATACTAAAACATTAGGATGCATAAAAAGATCCTAATTAACAATACAAGAATGTTATATATAGTGATATACAAAAAATGTCATTATAAGTATAATATATGTAAGTATATATTTATTTGACATATAATTACATTTACATACAATTTTAGTGTTAATTGTAAATGAGATTTAATAATATATTTTATATATTCCTATAATTTATATCTACACTTTTAATAATATACTAATATATATTATATTTATTGTGTAAATAAAAATAATTTTTAATAACACATATTATGTCACTATAAGATATATGTCATTATATGATAATTTTCTTGTAGTGTAAATTAGCATCCCACCTTATAATAAATATATGCAGCATATAATTAGAAATACTACTATAAATACGGAAAAGACATGTAAAAAAGAACAAAATGTGAAAAACCACACCTCTTCCTAGAATAAACTTGAGTTCTATAAGGTTGAATAGCAGACAACCAAAAAAAAAAATCAGAATGACAAAGACTCAATCAAAATATGTGAGAAAATCTAAATTGTATATGCTTGATAGAATCCAGCATATATATTTCCCCATCATACACGTAAACACCAAGATATATATGATGGATCATAAAAGACCTTGGTAACGAGTAAAAAATTTGATTCCAATCAAATTTCAATGAAATCAAAATTATACATACATTTTTTACTACTAAATAAAAATATTTATAGATATTATATTTATTACTAGCATATTAACATGTTTTTATTTTATAATATTTTAAAATTATATAATTGTTGAGGTATATTTAAGTTATATAAATTATAAATTTTATTCATGGATACAAAAAACATATTTATAATTATTATTATTAAGAAATTTTTTATTTATATATTATTAGTATTAATTAATACTATTTATAAGTTTTTTTTTTTGTCTATAAAAGTTTATATTAGAATAAGACACAATTTTATGTAATGTTAAAGTCAATCACCAACCTCTTTAATAACTTTTAATGAAATTTTGTATCACCTATCTCATTTTTAATGCAAGTCTATATAAAAAGATAAACATTGTAAAGAAAATTAAATTCAACTCTAGATTATAGTTAATAGGAGCGAAAAGACTTAATAAGTATAACATCCTTACGAGGCTATTAATAAATTAATATTAATAATATTATTAGAATATTTATAGGTACTAATAAATTAATGTATATTAATATTATTTTAAAGAAATATAAATATATAACAATGATATAAATATAGTAGAAGAATATTGATTAGAAATTAAAATTAAAATTGTTGAATTGAAATTGTGACCAAATTCACTCGATTAAAAACCTTAGAGACACGGATTGAAAATTTGTCATATTTTAAGAATCAAAAGTAAATTTAAAAAAAAAATCAAAATTACAGGTGAGAATAAAGTATACTCAAATTAAAAATCTTATAGTTTTAATTATAAATTTTGACAGAAGAATAAATAATGTTATCTTGAAAAATTAGGTGTACTAATTAAAAAATAATTCAAAAAGAATTTGGGCTATTTAGGTGTACTAATTTTTAATTAAGTAATGCTATCTTAATTTAAAGTTTTGACAGAAGAATAATTAATGCTATCTTGAAAGTTTCTTAATTCACTGCATTAAAATTTGGGGACATGATTATATACTCTTGAGATAAAAAAAAATGAATTTAAGTCAATTAATTAAAAATTAAATAAGAAGGGTATAATTGATTTGAGAAATAAACCAAATTCAATCAATTGAAATTTGAGACTTTAAGAGATTAAAATTGTATAATTTTCTAAAGACTCAAAAATATATTTATGTCAATTAATTAAAAATTAAACAAGAAGATAGAATTGACAAAGGAATAAAGTTATCTTAAAATTTTCCAATTCACTCAACTAAAATTTGTGGGGGGAAATTGTACGATTATGAAAAGTATATTTTAAAAAAAAAAAAAAAAGTTTTACCAAAAGTACATTTAAGTCAATTAACTAAAAATTAGATTAGATAGAAGTAAATGGATAACTAACACAAGATTAAATAAAATTATTTTAAAAGAGGACATATAAACAGAAAAAAAAATATTTCAATTCCCAAAAGTCAATTAATGAAAATTACTAGAATCAACTTAGTAATAAAAAGAATTAGAATAATATGTATAAAATCTTAAATTTAAATCTTATATCATTATTATAATTTCTATTAATTAAAAATAAATAAAAAAATAATGAAAGTATAATAAATAAAAATTAATTAATATTATCTTAATATTTAAAATTACAATAAATAGGAACAAAAATGCTCAAAATTTTTAGAAGGGAACGTAGGATTAGATATTAGATATATATTCACTGAAAAGGTAATGCATTTTCAAAGTATAATACACATTTAATGCTTATAATATATCCTAATATTACATAAGTCTTAAATATATTTTTATTTTATTAAAAATGACTGAGTTTTAATTTTGATCTTAATAAATTTATTTTATTATATTTTATCATTTTAAAATTTGTAAATATTTTTTTATTCCTTGTAAAATATAAATTTTTTATTTTAACTCTTATAAAATATTTTCTTTAATTTCAATTCTCTAAATTCTAAAGTCACTAATTTTAGTCTATAACAAGTATGGATCATTTCATGATAGATAAATAATATTTATTTTGATGACTTATAAAAGATTTTGGTGGTGACATATATAAAATATATAATTGTTAAAATTAATATGTTTTTAGTTCTCGAAAAGTGTACGAGTTTTGATTTTAGTTTCTGGTGCAAAAGTTTCTTGTTGTAAGTACTCTTTTGAAACTAACCTTGTTTTGTTTCTTGTGATGTTTCCTAACTCGTCCAGTTTTTTCCGGTACACCCATTTCGTACCAATGATCGTCCTATCCTTTGGTGCTTGAACGAGTTTCCAGACGTCATTCTTTTGGATGTGGGTGAGTTCTTCTTGCATGGCTTAAACCCAACTTTCGTCTATCAGAGCTTCGTCTGTGGTTTTTGTTTGGGATAGCAATGCAATTTATGCTTGTGTTTTAATGAACTTCTAGTCCTTACTGCATCCTTTGCCTCACCAATGATCTGCTCTTGAGGATGATGATTTTTCAACTGCCAGTTTCGATTTACAGGTTCTTTTTCCTCTCTTTCATCCGGTTGATTTTTAGTTTCTTTAGACTCAAGCTTCTTCGTCTAATCTTTATTTACCTGCATGTTCTCAAAGAAGTTTCCTAGCTCTGATATTTCTTTATTAGGCTTGTTTTCATCAAATTTCACGTGAATGACTTTCTCAACAGTTTTGGTTCTGTTATTGGAGACTCTATAGGCTCTTGACCTTTCAGAGTATCCAAGTAGAATACCCTCGTCAGTTTTTGAGTCAAATTTGCCTAAATTATCTTTGGTATTTAAAATGAAGCACTTGCATCCAAATGGATGAAAGTACGTAATGTTGGGTGCTCGTCCCTTCCACAATTCATAGGGAGTCTTTTTCAAAATAGACCTAATATATATTCTGTTTTGAATATAGAAGGAGGTATTAACTGCTTCTTCCCAGAAGTGTTTGGGAGTTGAAAAATCTTTTAATAAATTTCTTGCTATTTCTTTTAAAGATCGATTATTTCTTTCTACAACTCCATTTTGTTGTGGAGTTTTAGGTGTTGAAAATTATGTTTAATGCCATTTTCTTCGCAAAAATATTGAAACTATTCGTTTTCAAATTCTCCCCCATGATCACTTCTTATAGATGCAATTGATATTCCTTTTTTCGTTTTGAACCCTTTTACAAAATATATGGATCATCCAAAACAAAGCATCCGAGTCAAAGGACTCAGACTTCCTCAGCGGAAGATGGTTTTCCAACTCAAGCGACGAGTGAAGCTAAGCCTGAAGAGGCTTTCTAAATAATAGTCTGGGATACATAAGACCCTCAATTCCCATTCGCCTACTCAGAGGCACTCCAACAAAACCAGAAAAATCAAAAAGAGTCACCCGAACAAGGATAACCGGGATACTCCACCAACGTCGAAAGGACGTCAGCCAATCATAAGGCATCGCTCACATCAGAAAGAGCATCTTTGTGTCTACATCCCCAAGGAATCAGAATTTCCCCAGTGGGCACCAACTACGCAATGGAAAGTTGGGACACAAGAACCTATGAGTAACTGCACATCCCCTAGACGGATCCCTGCGTTATCCAGCCCTCAGCGGCAC